CTTTGCTTTGCCTGCAGGACGCCCCATCGTGGCTGAGCTGTCACCAGTGACAGACTTTCGCGAGGCCTGCTGCCGCCAGTATGAGAAGAGCGAGTGCACACGTGGTGGCTTCTGCAACTTTATGCATCTGCGCAAGCTGGGTGACAACATGCAAAAAACACTCTATGGCAATCGCGTGCGCCCCTCAAACCCTGCCAATGACCAGTTTCGCCCTCCCGGTGGCGGCGGCGGCGGTCGTCCTGGCGGCTATGATCGTGGCGGCTATGACCGCGGAGGCTATGACCGTGGAGGCTATGATCGCTATGATCGTGGCGGCCGCCGTGACTATGACCGGCGCAACTATGACCGACGCGACGACCGCTACGGCGGCCGCTATGACCGAAACCGCTATGAACGCGACGATCGCGACCGCTACGACCGCTATGAACGCCGCTATTAAGCCAGTGACGACAGCATCATGGTCACTGGCCTGGAATGTAGCCTTAGCCTGGGGGAGTCACGATCGTATACGTTAAATCAGAGCTCTCTTTGTGCTGGGTCCTGAAATCTTGCGACACGGGGTCTCTCTCCCGGTTGACCACCAAACAAAATTTACCAAACAAGTGATATCTCGGCTCTCTCTCCGGCCCACCAAAGCGATCAAATCCCTGTCAGCCTTGTCTTGTCCGTCGTCCCTGGAAAAATAAATAGTTCGTCTCCTGTGTCTGTGTATCTGACCAAAAGTGTTCGCCGCCATCCTGACTCACGCACGCTCACAGTTGCTATGACAAGGTTGTTATCAGATATTGGATGGAAAAGGTGGCTCATTGAGGTGAGTTTCTATATTAACGTCAATTTGACTGGATCGCAGATTTGCTAAAGTGGCCATATTCTTGGTATCCAGCTAAAGTAAAAGGCTACACGCCAAAGAAAAAGAAACAAACCGTGAGTGGTCAAAATGGTATGCATAAAAGATGAACGTGGTTTGAAGAAGTGCTGTGCAGTGTTGGGATTGATCTGATCAGCAATAGAAAAAACGCTCAGACTTCCAAGGAAGGTGCTTCGCCAGCATCGTGCAGCTTAACGAGGGCGTCTACGATAAGGCATAACGGTGAATGCGCCGTGATACGACCACGCCTGACATACACGATGTCAAACGCAGTCATCCACCAGCATCAAACACCGTCTACCCATCGCAAAACATCCCCCGCTAAGCATAACAAGGCACTATAGTGGAAACTGCGAAAGAGGAAAATTCATCGCTGCGTCTCAACCTTTGCTGATCATTGTATTGTGTGCTTTACTCGAGTGAAGTGTTCGTGTGTTTTTCTCATGTCTTGATGAGAACGTCAACGCACCTTAAGGTCTAAAAAAAGCCGGCTGTCTTGTCTCGTTCAAGAAGTCTTTCGATACGGTAATTATCTATCAAGCAAGGAAATGTTCAGAAGTGAGTTGGTGACGACAAGCATCTTTCAAGGTAAGGAAAATGGTGGTCGCAAGTACATGGTGGAGGCCAAACGAGAAAGGGATGATCGGGATGTCAAGAGAACGATCAGCGAGGGCAAGTTTCAATCTACTCATATGCCACAACCACCCAGCCCTAAGGCTGCCGGCGTGCCATAGTACGGTAATTCCAAAAGACTAATCATCATATCGCCTCCATCTCCACCCCCTCTTCCTCATGTTGGCCACCACCATGTGCACATCACAACCACAACCCAGTATAAATCATTACTCAGTCACGGCAACGGCAGAGCTGCCCAGATCGAGGCCGAGACCAAATGAATGATTCACCACACGCCCGAGGAAGCACCAACTGTACCTTGATCCAAGATGAAGAAAACTGCCACACATGCCCTCTCTCTTCACACACACACACACACACACACACACACACACACATGCTCTCTGAAGCAGCCGCTTGCTTTCCTGTGCGTGCGTGTGTGTGGAAAAAAAAAAAAGACACGTGTGCGTGAGTGTGTGTGTGGTTCAAGTCACCAACAGCTTGAATAATCGAAACCAACAAAATCACCTCAACACCCATTCAGATTTCGCAGCAACCCTTACCGCTATGACAGCTCGTTTTTGCTGACAGTTCATTTTGAAGGATGCAGTGACCCGTCTAAAATATACTTGATGACAATCTGACATTTTGCTCGTGACAACACGGAGCGGGCGGGCGGCGACGACGAGAACATGGCGACCATCTCGCTACAGATTGGACAGGCTGGTAACCAGGTTCGATCTTGATTACTCTGGTCGCCTGGGTTGATCTTGGCTTTGCCATACTCTCTAACCCTTTTTTTTTCCTTGGATTGGTTTGCTTGAACTTGAACGACCTCACATCGGCCCAGGTTGGCTATGCGGTGCTCGAGCGCTTGGCTCACGAGTTTGACTGTCCCGACAGTCACTTTCGGTTCGAGATGCCTGATCCCCCTCAATCTGCAGGTGATGGTGGCTCTGATATGTCTTGCAAGGCTCACTTGACATCATGTGGCCTTTTTTTTTTTCTTTTTTTTTCTGGGGGGGGGGTTCCGACAGACCAGTACAGAATGCGCGCGCCTCAGCCATACGATCAGGGCAGCACCGTGCACGGGCCGTCGTCATGGACTCAGAGCCCAAAGTTGTTCGCATGCTCAATGAAAGCACTCTTCGCCTTCCTTGGTGCTACAGCAAGGTCTGTCTGCCTCCCCTGTTCTGTTCCAAGCCCTCCGTACACCAGTCTGCGGCCGCTGTTCCCATGCCTCTGTTCCCATGCCTCTGTCCCCATCTAGCGACAAACCATGTGTGAGCAGCGTGGTGCAGGCAACAACTGGGCCAATGGCTACATGCGCTACGGACATGAATATCATGAATTTTCTCTGGATGCCATTCGTCGCGAGGTGAGTCGAGCTGGTGGGTTGCACGTGGCCAGCAATCGATGCTTCATCTTCTGTCTGCCTTTTTATCATCATTTTTTCTTTTGAAATTGTCGACCCTGCTGACGGCATGGCTGCTCATCGCATGGCTGCTGACGGCGTGGATAGGCCGAGGCAGCTGATCGTGTTGACGCCTTTCAGGTTTACAGCTCTGTCGCAGGTGGCACAGGTTCAGGATTAGGTGCCCGTGTCACGGAGCTTGTGCGCGAAGCCTACCCCAAATCTGCCTTGACCAATATGGTGAGCTGCTCAACCGCAAGCGGCCTTGTAGCCAGGCTACATTTTCTCAGTCCGCTCATGATCCTCCGGCCCCACCCTTGTGCTAGATTGTCCTCCCTTACATGACGGGCGAGGTGATTGTGCAGTTCTACAACGCCGTTCTGTCTCTTTCCCACTTGACCACGGTATTGCTGGGATACACGACTTTGGGGCCCCCGATTCGTGGTTCTGACGCAGTCTGACCAGTACATCTTCTTTTGGGCAACGTTGGCTCTTCCCCATGCAATATAGGCCTCAGACGCCATCTTCCTGCTGCGCAATGATGATGCGCATCGCGTAGCCCAGTCTTCGTACAAACTCAAGACCGTGACAATGGATGCTCTTAACAATGTAGGAACCTTCCCCCGCCCCCCCCCCTTTCGCTGTCAAAGAACCGAACGAGCGTGGACCAAACAAAGGGCAGGTACCACGTGATTTGCCATGCTTGCGCGAGTCTCTCACCGTGTCCGCAATGGATGCCAACCTTGCCAGGTCTATGCCAATGATCTGGCACATGCTCTGGGCCCCAGCCGTGCTGCTGCTGGTGCTGATTGTGGACTGGTCAGTGGCGCTGCCCCATGTATCCTGTCACCGGTTGTACAAGCAAGTGACGACCGCATTGTTTCCTCACTACAGGTGCAAACGCCTTTCTAGCTTGATCCAAGCCTATTGTCACAGGCGCAGCGCGTGGCCCACTTGGTGCCTCATCCCGATTATAAACTACTGACAACGCACAGCATCCCACAGATGCCCGAATCGTATCAGGCGTTTAGTCGCTATGACTGGTCCTCCTTGACGACCACAGCGCGCGCCATGGCCCTTGCAGATAGTCCTGTAGAAGAAGGATTCAACCGGCGCCTCAAACCCGCCCCAGGACCCGTTCCTGGTGACTTGAATCAACAGGTTGCTCCTGCTCGTGGTGCGACCAGCCTGGCCACCTTGGTCACCCTACGTGGCGACCAACTAGGCACTGGTATGTCTGAACCTGAGTGAAACCTTAGGGGTGTCTGGACGCCCGTCTTTCTCAACGCCACTCACTGTCGACTTGCCTCTGCCGACCTAAAAGCAAACTGCAGTGCGTTTTGGGAGGAAGGCCTCTATTCAGCCTGGGCGCCCAGTCCCGTGCTAGTAGCCGGGTCCACTTTGGCCTTTGGTGGGCATGCCAAGTCTGTTAGCACTGTGCTCAACGGATCACGAAACGCAATGTTTCTGGTATGCAATGCCCGCGTTGTCGTGTGTGTCTTGTGCCTGAATGGCCCTCGCTCTGATCCAGAGCGACCCTGATTGGTCCCACCCCAACCATGACGCGCCGCGTCGCTTATTGTCATTAGGATGCGGCTTTGGAACGCACACAACGCATGTTCAGCAAGCGTGCATACGTGCATCAGTACGAAGCATTTGGGTGCGTGCGTTGCACCAACGGGACAAAATCTTGGTGTTGCAGCCTACCTCAGCGCGGCATTGACGTTGCCTGCCTCTCACCCTCTGTCGGAATTTGCAGATTACAAGCCACCGACATTGAAAATGCCATGTTGATATGCGAGCAGGTTGTTGCGAGCTACGCGGGCCTTTAAAAGACGCACAGCCGAGACGTCAGCGGCTGAGCCGTTGTTAAAACCCACACGTTGCATCTTGTACAGACCCTTTGACTCACAGTCAAAGCAGACGCACGACTAACGTGTTAATTGAATCCTATCCATACTTTGCTACGAGGCCGCTGGTGCTATGCACAACCGAAAAAGCATGGAAGCTGGATCCAGGACTGTTGCCATGATTTGCCGACATGGGGTGAGGCATCCAGCCTCGTATCCTATTCTGCCTGGCCATGCGTTCTTGGAAATCCCAATTTTCCTCTTTTCCTGCCAGGGTACACCATGAGAACCAAGTGGACTCGCGTTTTAGCGTTACCAGAAGCAAAATGGTCGCTGTCAGAAGAGTGGGTTGACTCGTGTGCGCCGATTTATTCTAGCCACGAGATCAATAGCTTGCTATTGGTTGCTATTCACGCACGACCCTTTCCGATACAGCTGCATTCACCTTGAATTGACCAGTCGTAAACTCATCTCAAGTTTTGTCGATCTCACTCTGCAAGGCCTCACTGCCACTTCTGCTAACATGTAAATCCCAGCACCCCAAGTCTGGTAGACTCGATTGAGTCAGTCCTGTCGGTTGTATTTCGCAACAGCTCAGCTTGCAACTCACTTTGCTCAATGCTGATGAACTGTTTGGCCAGAGGGTGATGATGAGAAGAATTATCGATCAAGCTCGCAAGGCGCCAAGGCAGTTGTCAATTGTTGCATCCATCAAAACTTTTCAGATCAGAGGACCGTAAAGAGTGACCGTGTAAGGGCAAGGCACCTCGACTGTGGTGGACGCATTCATCAAAACAGTTTGCGGAGAGTGATACGTATGAAGGCCGTACACCAAGTTCTCACCAGCCGTAATGTTTGGCCCGTTCGTGGTGATTGAGAAGTGAAAGTCGACGTACGGCTGGATACAGGACAATGTGGACGGTCCAGAGGGAGCAATGTAAATGTTGTAACCGGAGTTGGCTGCCAATGACATGCTGAATTTATCAACGTCGTTCTCGCACAGGGTGCGAACCAATGAAGAAACGTTTGAAGTGAGCGTCACGGGCTCGCTTCCTTCAGCAGCATCCGCGACACAAGGGTAGATGTACGCGGCGCGCTCGAGCTATTGTGGAGGGATGCGATGTGAGTTCAAGTTTGGTGCCACACACATTGCAGCAGAGGAAGCGAGTGTGCTGAACCAAGTCACGCTTACAGCAACAAGACGATCGTCAAACGTGGCGTTGATGATGGAGTCGATGGTTTCAATCAACACCTCCTTGCGGCACGCCGCGATGCGTTCGTTGGCCGAGTAGAGCGATTCATTGGTGCACGCACAACTGTTCATGGTGGTGGTTACAATCGTGGTGACCAGATCAGCAGGTGCCTGGTGAACCACGGCGAGGAGCACCACCGCCAACAACACTGCAGCCCGTGTAATCGCCAACATGATGGCGGTCTCTTTGCAAACAGGAGCAAGCAAAGATTAGCTAGCCATCAGCACCACCAAAAGCCAAATGAGCCAGTCACTGCCGACATGATCGACAGTCCCATCGCACTCACTTCATGTCATGAAAGAAGAAATGACATTGTCCCTCTTTCTCCCTATTTCTCCCTCTCCCTCTGTCTCTCACTGTTTCTCTCCCTGTCTTCTCTCCCACTGTCTCTCTCACTGTCTCCCTCACGGTCTCTGTTTCTCTTTCTGGGAGTACCTTTGAACCCTTGGTCCACCCAACCGAGTGTGAAACATGCCCATTCTTTGGAATCTAAATTGAAACGATTCATTCTTATTATGGAAAATGTTGTGACCTGTGGATGGAAGCGAGGTCAATCACCCCGCCAAACACAACGGCCAGCCTCAGGTCTTGGGCACGCTGAGAAGCCAACGATCCGAATCCAAAAGCATCAAAGAGCCCCGCCAACAAATTCAACAATGCCAGCACGCTGCCATTTTCCTCCCAAGCGAAGTGAAGCAAAAAGGAGCACCAAACCCCCTACCCAACTCTACCAAACACAAGCCAAACACGGTCGGTTGCTAAACTTTTGAAAGTTTGGACATGACACAAAATGACATGACACACATACATAGAAGAAGAAAAAAGGAGGAAAAAGGAGAGAAAGAAAAATTTGATACAATGTAATTTTTGACATTGTGACGCACCTCTGCTCAAGGACCTTGTGGAACGACAAAAAAAAAGGAGAAAAAGATAATCATGGAGCATCCGGGTGGGTCTTCGAGTAATGAGATCGATCCCAGTACCTCTCCCATGCTAAGGGAGCGCGCTACCATTTGCGCCAATGCCCCAATGTACTTGGAGTACTTGAGTTTAAAATTAAATATAATTGACTTGGAAAAATGTCAGATGTTGCTTGTCTCAAAGTCATCCTTGTGACTGTTTTTTCATAGAAGGGCCAACATGAACGAGCAGGCCGAGGCTGTCGGGGTGGCCTTTAAGAGCACGTCGGTACCCGGAATAGGCACGCTGTATACTTTGGAAGCCGACTCCAGTGATGTTGGTGAGTCCCGACAGGAAGTTTGGTCATGATCGACCAATGCGCTCCCACATTGTGCTCATGATTGCAACGAGTTGATCTTTGGCAGCTGGCTATACCTGGGGTGCGAGCACGGTTCTTGCCGGATGGCTAGCGCGACATTCAAGCGAGGTACCTGCCTGCATTAGAACATCCCCCCACATACACGCACACACGCACGCATACACACACACACCCGGCTTTTTTGGGGGGTTTGATTGTTTGCCGTTGTTGTTTTCGTTGTTGCTGCTGCGGTTTCTTGTTACTGATGATTTGGCTTGCTTCAAATCAGGTTCGAGAAAAACAGGTCCTTGAGCTCGGCTGTGGCACAGCAGTCGCTGGACTGGCTGCAGCCCAGCTTGGCGCACAACGCGTGCTCTTGACCGATGCCAGGCTGCGCGTGGAAGCCAGTAAGGGCGATATGAAGTGAGAGCTGCGTCTTCGGCACACAAGTGCCCTTTGTTTTGTGATACATGTGACGATTTGGATGCCCTCTGATGGCCATGATACGTGGCGGCTCGTCTAGATTGGTGCTTGCCCGCAACGAGTGTCGTCAGGTCCAGTACTTGAGCCTTGATTGGGGTCGAGCCCTTACCCCCGAAGTTGAAGCAGACCAGTTGTGTCCAGCATCCCTCCTGCTTGCCGCTGATTGCCTTTACCAGCTGTCACGTTCGTATCTCGCACATTCGCAAACACCGCCCCAAAACATGTAACTTGTGATCCTCCCCTGACCTCATTGCCGATGACCGCTTGTTCATTCCAGAATACCCCCTGTTCATGGCCACTGTGGCTCTGCTCTTGGCTCGTGCCGCTCTTCATGCGACTGCTGATACGCCGCCTCCCTCCCTTCTCATGGCTCACCGACGCCGCTCTGAGAGCCGGACGCTTGAGGTGTGTGATGATCCTACGTGCTTCCTCCTCTTGGTGAAGGATTGGCCCGGCTTGCACCGAGCATTTGGCCCTCACGCTTGGTTTGTCAGCCCTGGTTGCTTCGGTTTGGCTTGTCCGGCTCCTTGCTTGAGACCCATGATGACCACCACGTTGAAATTTGGCGCATTCAGCGTCGTTGAGGGCATTGGTACAACTACTCTCTTGCACGCTGGTGACAGTCCTTTTGCAGAGAGGCGCCTTGTGCCTCAGCCGCACGGGGACCTGTGCACTTCTCTACGGCACTCTGATTGCTGCTGCTGGTCAAGATGATTATTGTCGTACCCACGATCGGTTTTTCTTGTGTGTCTTGCAACGGCTCTCGAGTGACCGTTTTCAACCCCTTGCCAGTGTCGGGCGTGAGCACAGGCTGTCGTTTCCTCGGATGGCTGGCAGCAAAATGGCCTCGCCAGCTTCCCATGCTTGTCGAAGTGTAGCTTGCATGCATGCTGGCGCAGCTCGGGAATGGCCCTGGTTACGCAAAGCAGCATCTTTCTTGTCGACTTGCGTGCTTGGCCACGTGTGCGTGTCCTGTCGTGGCTGTGCTTCCAGCGCGCTCGAGCAAACGCTGAGCGGCACGTACCCGCTTTCGACCAATCTTGGGTGGTTGTGTGCTCGAAAGGTGCGCGACGACACCGTCCTCTCAGTGGGCGCCTTCCTACGTTTTACGTACCCCGTGTGTCGGGTATTCCCAGCCCATGCAATACATGCGCGGATTAGTTGCCATTCTCCTCCTAGTGGCTCAAGCCACATTGCGCCACGTCTGATAGCATGGCGCGACATTCTGCTGCACCATTTTGGACCAACTGGTGAATCATGATACCCTCCCTAACTTGGCACACCGCACTGCTGTCAACAAATCTGCGCATCATAGTCATAATTTATCAGTGCAACGTAAGCGATAACCAAAAAAACCCATTACACTCTCCCAAAAAAAAAATCAAGTCAATAGAACTTGTGTCAGGCTCCAGCACGTCTGGAGGCCGTCTTTGGGTTGCGAGGAAGCGCGTAGGTTTGAGGAAGCGTTTTGAGAGAGGTTTGAGAGACGTCCGTCGGAGCGGAGCGAAAGCTTTGGTGGTGTCTTGAGGTCAATTGAACCAGCTGCGGTCGGCAAGCATTCACAGTGACCAGACCAGGTGCACCGTTAGAATAGCTGTAGAGTCGCTCAATCCCGAGGATAGGGAAAGTCACAAGAGAGCAGAGCACACAGGAGAGCAAGGGGAAGACAGAATGGCAGAGGGCTTGACGTACCTGCGGTCGGCAAGCATTCACAGTGACCAGACCAGGTGCACCGTTAGAATAGCTGTAGAGTCGCTCAATCCCGAGGATAGGGAAAGTGCAACTCGTGCCCGACCGCAGGTGTCACAACAAAGGGAAACAACAGTAGCCACAAGCTTATTGCCCCAGGGCAGCTGCCCAGGCATCGTGGGGACCGCGTCACACGCGGTGTTTACTCATGTGACTGCCACGAGGAGGATCAAGCCCAGGGGGTCCAAAAGTAGGTGTCAATGTGTGAGGTCGTCGTAGCTATGGAATACCAATAGGAAGACCCATAGCGACCGATGCTGAGTGTGTGCGAAAGCAGTGGGAGTGTTCAAATGCGTGGAAGCACGGATTTGACGCTAACACCCCCCCTCGCCAGCCGGAGCCCCGATCCGGCGAGGATGGTTCAAAGACAAACGGAAGAAATGGCGAAGGCACGCTGAGAACAAAAAGGGAAACAAGGATGAGAGAAAAAAAATGCAAGTTTCATGATTCATG